AAGACACAAAAGTAGTTGTGTTAATAAAATTTTGCAATATACTTCTTAAAGTTTGTATTTTCTTATGATTTATTATAAGATTTATAACATAAAATTGATTTTCCGAATATCTTTTTTTTTTGTCAATTTCGTCCCTTTTCTCAGCACCTAGCCCATATGATCATTTAACCAAATAACCAAATAAAAAAAGGTTTATAAAACATATTTAATATTGCAGAATGACTTATAAAAAAGAAATTTTACAACGCTAATAAATGTAACAGAATATATTTTATAAGTTATAATTTAAAGGGTCTTCATGTTGGAAGGGATGAAATGAGATTTTAAGAATAAATAATGAAAATTATTACTTTTATTGATTCAAAATTAGCTTAATATATTTAGTAACTAAGATAATATATAGTACCTAAGAATTTCCGTTAGAAAGAAACTCTTCGGGAAGGATAGAATCAGATACTTGTTGAACTTCTATTTGATGCTTTAACTCGGCGACTTGAGTGCGGAGATCGTTAACCACTTGACAAAGAGTCATTATTACTTGATCAGAAGACACTTTACTAATTCGAAGCTGGTTAATTTCTTGAATATGAAGAGAAAGCTGATGTTCTAAATCAGCAATCCGTTGAAAGGGATCTGGAGGGGGGATGGGGGGATGACAGAATTATTGGATCCAAGACGAAAACTAAAAGTTAATGGCGTGCCGGATGAATTGGAAATTTTCGAACGGTTCATAGTAATAGATATACGTAGAAATAGTGAGGAATTGAGTTTCGTATCACGTGATTTATGATAGTATATAAGCGATAATAGAGAATGGGAAAAGCACTCATATTTATAAGAAAATAAAAATTTTTACCAAAAAAACTGCGCACTAGATAGCTTTTGATATTAGAAAGGGCAAAGGATGGCATAAAGCACCAAGAAACTAACAAATGCATTACTATCGTAATCGCGTCTACAAATTTTGTAACATCCAATGCTGCACTGCATATCGATATATGGATATATGCGGTGTGACATTGCATTTTTTCTTCAAAATAAGGAAATCACAATGTACACTTTTAGATTTATCAGGTAATACCGATACGAATAATTTCCCTAACTGAACTTAGCATGCATTTACGTTTCAATAAATTTTCCATATGTAAATTTTTGTACTACTAGCTCCTCACGTGTCACTACGTGCCACATTTTATTAAAAAGCATATTCATAATAGAAATTTTATTTCAGCAAAAGCAAAATAATTATAGCAATAGACCAATTTGAATTTTATTTATAATTGTATATGCAGTACATATTTAATGTTATTATATTGTTGATAAATGTTTTTGCATCTC